TTAGGGGGTAGTAATCATGCAGCACCATCTTGGGATTACTCGGACAAAAGATGAGAGGAAGAGGAGATCGGAAAGCTGGTCAATCCAAGTATTAAAATCGCAAAAGATCATAATGCGGGCTGCCACTATTTTCTGCGTGCGTGGTGCTGGTTTATGACCGTGATTGCATCAGTGAAACGACATTCTAAATTATTGGCCGGCGCGCCACCACGATCGTTGGCTTAGGAAGAGGAGATGCCGGTGTAGGACAATGGATACTCTGACGTGTCGTATTCCCAATATGTCCCGTCGTGGCTTTGCCACAGGTGTCACAATTCAATTTAGAATAAGGGAATGACAATATTGTTCACACCTAAGCGTGTATCAAGACTCGTTTCCCACTTCTCGCTTGAGAGGTGCTCAACTGAGGAGTGACAGGTTCAAAAGATTTTTTTGGGGGAAAAAACCCAAGTGGGAGGGAAGGAACAGAGCATGTCCGATCCGTCCATGAAAATCTTTTGCGCATGTAAATATCGGAAGAACCATATATATCCACATATACAAGGCTTGCTCCCCGTCTCTCCCTTTAGCTACCTTCCACAATTGCAGTCGCTCACCGTTATATACGTATAGGCTAGGTTTCAGTACGAGAGCTTAAGAAGAGGGCTGACTCCGAAGAATTCAGTCTGAAATAACTACACTATTGTGGATAGGGCTAGTTGGTCGAACCATTTTTTAGCAGATCGGCGGCGATGGTCTAGATGCTGTCGTGGCCTCTATTGGGGAGTAGTCTGCCGTACCCTCATCAAACCACACATGTGCAGAGATCTAATGAGAAGAAGTGTCCTTTCCAAAAGCAGACATAAAAACGAAGAGATCATACAAAGAGAGGGCAATCATCCGGTAGACGGATCGTTCAGGCAAGGTGGAGTGATCTGAAGGAAAGAGAAGGAAAGCTATAAGGAGAAAAATAGCAAGACGATCAATTTATTCGTTCAATTTTTACGATCCGGTCATTGCTATTCGTTAGGCTAACAGGACCGGCGGGTGGACCGTTTTCAATCATCTCGAGCGTGGCCTTGGCTAAGTCCATGGTCGTGATTGGAGCAGTGCTGTGGCGTTCCCACTCTTCGGTAAGCCCTGTGGGTTAAGAAGGGGTGAAGAGGGTATACTCCATAACAGTTGTTCTTATCACAGATCTTTGCGGCTTGTGCTCGGAGAGTCGTGAGAAAGAATAGGCTTCAATCATGCACGAGAAAATGACTAAAACAAATCGCATACATTCGAGCGTGTCATACAAGATTAAATTCACGAGCCTTACTGCCCAATTTTATCGGCTGAAGGGCGATCGAAAAATTCGGGACGAAATGAATAGAAAGAACACACTTCGTGAAAACAAGAAGAACGAAAAGAACAAGCTTTTACCGAAAAAAAACAATTGCTAACATTGGCTTAGAAAATGACACGTCAACCTGCCCTTTTATCGATGGGAAAAGTACCAGGTTCGCTCCCTCTCTCTCTCTCTCTCACTCCTTCCCTTTTCTATTCCCACTCACTCATTCTCCCTCCAATCCCATTCCCCCTTTCTTTTTCACCTTCTCTGTCTAACCTATGCACACTTTACTCAATCATATATACCCATGCAAATGCAAGCCAAGTCCAAGGTAGTAGAGTGAAAGGGAGGGCAAGCTAGTTCAGCGAAGAAGACGCGACGACTAGTGTCATGCTGATGCGAGAAAGAAATGAAACATCATTCGATCATTATTACAGATCAAGACGAATAAAGGTTGCTCAACCCAACGCTAGTAAACACAGCTATGGCCTACTAAACCACGACGACGACAAACCCGTGATGATGAGATGGCAACACGCTCTCCTCGTGGAGATCGAGCTTCGCAGAACAACAGCCAGAAAGAAGAACATGGTACACGGAGAAGAGGAAGAGGAAGATCCTGCACCATGCCTCCTAGCCCTGATACCGCCCTTAGGCGAGCCAGACTGGCCGAAAGATCCACCGGAGGGAGTGGCACATTCCCTGAGGCCTTTCTGCCGCTTGCCACGCGCGGCTTCATCAGAGGGAGTATCTTTTCCTTTGTCGTCGGAAAAGGGCGGGACAACGAGAACGATACAAGACATACCAAGGAAGCATGCAAAGCGAAGGGGAGAAGAAGGGAAGTGTGGCTGCGATGTGCATGAGGGGACTCGAAGAGAGATTGTGTGATGGTAGGCGAGCAGGAGGTTGGAGGAGAGGGGTGGTGGGTGGGAGGGGAACGTGGGCGAGTCGCTGCTCATCTCCGCTATGCTGCGTGCCGCTTCGTTCACGAGCTCCAATACACCGCGATAAGCCCGCTTGCCGACAGTGCCAGCGCTAGGGAGGTGTAACCAATCGTGAGATATAACAGTGTCGCGGCCCGCTTAGCAGGAGCCAAAAGAACTAGCTCCGATTGACAGGCCCAAACCGGAATGCCGCAGATGATGGCATTCGGTAGCATAGCTAGTATGAGGATGATCGCTTGAAAAGCTGCATGCGTCGCGTTATGCGATGGGGTAACCGCTGAGTGTCTGCCGGTGGTGGGGTTTCACGATGGAAGGCGTGCATCCGGGTCCAGGATCGGTATCACCGGAGGGGGGTGGCGCAAGGCTGGGGAGGATTCTTGCGCGTAGAATGATGGCGACATGGTGGTTGTGGCGGATCGGCCCATGGAACCATATGCAAGGCCAACATCAGCTAGTGAGGGTTGGTCAGTGGGGAGGGAGGGCGTTGGGAGGGATGCGATGAAGCAGAGGAGCGCTATGCACGCGAGCAGGGCGAGGTATGCCAGGAAAGCGCAAGTGGAGACCGCATAGGCCCCTCGGTTCTCATCGAGGTCCTCCATGCCTGTTGGGTGCTGCTGCTGTGAACCAGGTTCCGGACGTATGCAGACGAGGTTAGGTCGGAGCTATACCACTTCCTCAATGTCAGCCGGCTCCTCCAGGAGGTCCAGGTCCACGAGGAAATTCATCCCAGTCGAAATCCACAACTCGCTGGATGCGAAACGTCTGTTCGTTTGGTCGAACAAGTCCACCGAAGTCCTCGCCCACAATCACTCCACCGCAATGATTGACGAGTCTTGTCAGTGCCCCTCGCCCATTTAAACCAGCCGAGCAGCCCGCCTTGTTACTACATGGATCTGATTCGTCCCGGGCCCGGTGCTCTGGGATCCCTTCGCGACAGTCTTGTCCCACCGCTAAAACTTCGTCATTCCCTGTGAATGATGCCTGTTGCTTTTGAATCTTCCCGCCTTGTCGTGCAATCACCCGTAAGACTAGCGCCCTCGAGCTCACTCTCCTTCCAATTGCTTAGGTCCCGTGCTCGAGCCTTGCCGATATCCATAACACCTCACACCATAGTCCTTGTACACCTGTTGGATCCGGTACCAGGATCGTCAATACCCGAGCCTTTCGTATCCCAGGGGGCGAAGGTCCGGTGTGATTTAGACGCTGATGCCTTCGTGGACTCCCGAGGTTGGCGACGGATCGATTCTGCAAAGAAACCATCAAAAAAGCAAAAAAAAACAAAAAAGAGAGAGAGAAAAAAAGGAAAGAAAAAAAGGGGGAAAAAAATGATACGAATCCTACGCGTCCTACTATTACATCTACGGTGCTAGCGCAAGGGTCACAGTTCGAGCCTCGGCCCATCCTGCCCTCACGGAACATTGCTCATGGGGTAGACCGCCTTATTCCCTGGTATCCCATCGATACTCGGGGGGATCCATGCGCGGGTTTTCAATCAATAGTGTCAGCATATTTGTCACTACCGAGCGAAAAACGAACGTGAAAGAAAGGGAAAAATCGAGGCGACAACAGAAAAGGGGAAAGAAACACCAGAACAAAAAAGAAGAAAAAGAAAGGAAAAGGCGTAAATGAAAGAAAACTGGGAAGGGTATGAGGAAAAAAGTTTTTTGGCCAAGGGGGGTCTGGTCTTGCTTTTCCTCATCTCGATGGCCCTTGGGTTGCTCAACTGGTCTCCCTTGTTCCCTTCCAGGACCTATATGGATGTGTGTGTGTGTGTGTGTGTGACCCGCCCCTTTCCCTCCAGAGAGGTCTGAGGCAAGGTTAGTAGCCACGGGGGGGCAATTGACCTTGCGGCCAGACCCCCCCGGGACCCACACACGCTCATCACAACCACAGACGCATGGTCAGTCTTTATTTCATTTGAAAGTCATTTTCCAGATACTTTAGGACCAATTCACGGTTGACCCTGCAAGGTTGGTAACGATATTGTTCCGTGGAAAATCTCCTCACAACAGCCCAACATCTGTCAGTGTCAAAACCATTGTCAAAGAGAGTCTTGATTATTTCGTTGATCTCCCTGGCAGCCTCCCTCGGGTCGGTGCACAAAATGAGGATCAACACGGCTTGCGCAATGATGATCTGTAACGACTGCGCTATACTGCGGTTAGAGTTTAGCTTCATGAACCTGACCGGGGAGAAGTTGAGTCCTTTCTTCTTGTCATGTTTTGTGGTGGAAAAGCAGCCTTCTTGCCCAGACGAGACCGAGATAGTCATGTTAAGAAAGTTGGCAACTATACCCTAGTGTTCCTCGTTTTTCACCTCGGTTGTTTCCTTCATTTCGATGAACTCTTTTGGGTAGATCCAGATTGGATCTGTGGTTTGATCACAATCGTCCCGAAAGAAGTCCCGGATGGAATGATTGTTGAGTGAGCACAAGTCGTCTACATACCTGTACGTGTTGTCAAACTGCGGCACCAGGTGTTTGTTGTCGGAGGTCAGTAGTCTCATCATGGCGTGATATTCGTACTTAAAGAAGTAAATATCACACCAGATGGGGGAGCAAGCAAGAACCATGGGAATCCCGTGCACCTGCTTCCATACACATATGCCCGCCTGGATCAGGCTGTGTTCTAAACACCATTGCGAAATGTTGACGACATCGGACTCAGTAAAGAACAGTTCTTCCCCGGTGTTCTCTTGCCAGGCGTCCATCGAGGATGGGTTCATCTTACCTTGCGTCGTGATTCTCACTTTAATGACATCCCTCGAGCTCCTGTCCCTTCGATGGCTCATCGCTGTCTCAACAAAGAATCTAATGGCGGTTAGTAGGTCATGATATCTGCTGTATGTATGACGTGGATCGTTTGGGGAAGGTTTGCAGCAAACTCACCGACCGACGAGATAGGCCACCATAGATTGGGCTTGACATCGTATTCTGCTTCCATTGTCCTGCTCATCTCCGAACAGTAAGATTGCACAGACGGGGTTAGGAAGCGAAGCAGACAGGCGCACAGGTCAGTCATGGGGGAGACAACAGTGTTAGCAGTGTTAGTGATCCATCGGAAGGACTGTTTATGTGCCTTATACACTGCCATTAGGTAGGGCAGTGCATCACGCGGTACAGGAAGGGCCGGGAGATGGGTCAATTCCTCTTTTATGGCTGGGATGATGTGCTCAGGATCCTCTTGCTGTAGCACGAAGTCCTCGCCCTGCAGTCTGTGTAAGGCGAGCACACGAATGAAGTTGGCACAGACAAAGGAAGGAGTGTTAGCGGACTTGTCAGTGGGAACAACCAGGAACCTCTCTGTGAGGAAATCTATCTCCCGCCTCGTGCTCGTTTGACTTATTGGTTCTGCTGAGATGAACATGTGCTTGTTGATGTAGCCATTCATCTTACTCCTTGCCTTGTCCAGTACCAGTTTCTTGAATCGCCACCTCTGATGTTCACCCATGCTGGCAATATCGTTGGAGACCATGATGAGTCTGTCCAATAGTCCGTTGAGCTCGAAGAGTGCTTCGTCGATATCAAAGGCCCTGAGCGGAATATGATTCAGCCCGGCCTTGATCATCGCCCGCAGCCTGCAGTTGTCCGTGATCCTGACATCCATGGTCAGCACATGCGTGTGCTGGGCACCCGGGAACAGGTCCAGTGTTTTCTCTGAGTGGAATCGTACCTACCTATCTGATTGACAATAACATTCCGCCGGATCGCAGTGATCAGTCCAATGCTCGATGTCGAAGTCCTTAAAGACCTCCCTGGGTCTGCATACATAGGCAGCCACTGATTTCTCATACGTCCAACCAAACACCACTTTCTCCAACCGCTGTTCCACGTCCTCACCCACTAGCCTCCTCAGCACACCTAGCACCAGTCTCCGCACCGAGAAAGCCTCCATTGCTCTGCTCGTGTACTTCATATGCAGGAAGGTAAGGTCGTTGCGCCTCTCCCTGTTCCATACTAATCTCCCCGTGGGCTGCACGACCATCCGACCCCCAACTCTCGTATCCTCGTTGCACCTGGGGTCCTGCTGACACGCACAATCAGAGCGTTCTTGCACACGAAGGTTGCGCCGCGGAAGGGAAAACCAAAAATGGTTACGGAGGAATAAGAGAAAAAAAGGGGAAAAAAAAAAAGACGGAAAAAAATGGGGGGGGAAGGGGTGAAGGTCAAAAGATAGGGGATAGGAAGGGACTGAGATGTCAAGGCAGCGTGCATGCTGTGTCCCCTTTATGGTGCGTTGACTGCCGAGCTGCTGCTGCGTGGTAGTCTCGGGCGAAGCCTCCTCCCATAGTTCGAGTGTTCTCAGTCAATGCTAGAGCCATCATCAAGCGATCTCCTCCTGTTGCTCTTCGATGGTGTGTGCGTTGGAACTGATTGCCCTGTCGCGGGTGTGGCTGGCGTGTGAGACTGACTGCTAGGTTCCGCACCATCCCCCCTGGCCGCCGTAAGTCGTGAAAGGTCCCGTTGCGCTGCCGGAGGCGTTTGCTGTGAGAGGCCCCCAACGTTGGCACTTGCTGGCATATGCTGATACTGCGATCCTCTTTGCCCTTCCTTTCGCCTCTGTTTTTCGTTCTCAAGCGCGTTCGCCCGTACTCCTCCTCTTTCGCGTTCCCGTTGTTGAAAGCGCGGTGCCTGCGGCGGATCCCTTTCTGCCTGCTGGTTCAGCTGCTGCTGCTGCTGCGCCTCCACTGCAGCTACGATCCTGCGGTTTATCAATGCGGCGCGCCTCTGCACTTCCTCCTGGGCTTCCCTGTTACCTCCCGCCCTGCTGGCCGCAGGAAAGTTTAGCCTCCCCTGTCCTTGAATCAGCCCGTTGGGCTCTGTTCGTCGCCGTCGGAGTCACCCTCCTTGGTCTGGTTGGGATTCTCGTGGGGAGTAGGATCCTCCCGATCGCTGGTGGGAGTTGGTGTCTCCACATCCTCTCGTCCTTTATGACACTCTCGGCAATGAGCTGGTCGTCTGTCTCTAGGTTCCTAGCGAAGTCCGTCATGATCTCCCTGATGAACATGAATATGATGCATCCTATCACCTCGTCCTTCCAAGTCGTCCTCAGGTAGTGTACTAGCATCGAGGTGCGGATTTTGGTAGAGGACATGGTGGGAAAGAGGACATCAGGGTGTGCTAATAGATACCAGATGGCATGGTCCACCCAGAGGGGGCCTCCAGGGCAGTCCCTATCCTCATCGTTGCGTTTGCAGCTACACTTAAAGTAGGGTCGACCGACACTCCACACTTTTCTCAGGTTTCTGAGATCCAATGTGGGTGGTTGTTTGATGGCAATTGTGCCACAATACGGGGGCCGTAGGTCCGCACTTCATCTATGCTGCATAAGCGATGACCTTGCATTTCCTTACCTGTGCATCCGTCAGGCCTGCTAGGAATTGATAGGCTTTAACCGAGATAGGCGCCAGATGGTTGAACGTATCCATTTTCCAGATGCAGTGCCCGAAGCCAGTGCTCGTGTGCTCTACCCAGTGCGTGGAAGCTAATGGGGCGAACGCAGTGAACTGCCTGGATGCGGTAGTGTATAGAGGCCTTGGTGCTGCTATGCGTCTTAGCGGCGTCTACTGTGCTTTCGCGGAGATGGCGGCGATGGCCTGCTCCATTTTAGCGATCTCCTCATCATTAATGTCCAGGGCTTGGCACTCGGCGCGCGCAAGGTGGGCATGCTCCTGCTGTGCTCGTGGTCGCGGTGGGGGCGGGGGTGTCGCCGGGAGAAGATTCCTCACATGTGCATCACTCAGTCCCCAGGCCCCGAGAAAGATCTGTTCTACTCTGGCTACCCTCCCTGGGAGCAATGTACATTCTCCAACATACACCACTTTCGGATGATTTTCCTGTTCTCGAGTTCTACCCCTAGTTTCTCCACCTCTTCCCGGAACGAGCCTCCATCCCTGTCCCAGGCCATTGCCATACTCGCGAGGTAACTAAACCCGATCATTTCGAAAAAGTTGGGGAAGGCTCCGGAATCCCACATGAGTTTAATTACGTCCATGCTTTCTGGCTTCATGCATGTGATCAAGGCTTGTGCTGGTTTGTTGGGCCAGGGGCACTGCTCGAGCCACGGGAATCTTTCGATGACCTCGTTCCACCATCCTCTGGGAAAGCTTTCACCCGGCACAATCTGCACAAAAACAACCACAAGGACACAAAACACAAAAAGGAGAGGACTGAGGATACAAAGGGAAGGAGGCATTGCGCTAGGCCTTGTTATCATACCGCTGTCTTCAGACGTACAAACCTTTCTTTCGCTTCACACTAAGTACGACTTTCGAACCCCTCGTGATAACCAACATTCAAGTTTCTCACCACTTCCTCTGCGTCCCGGATGCACCGGCGTTTAAGCTTTTCTCGAGATGTGGTTGGTGGGGGCGCCCACCAACCGCGCTGCGGCCCTGCGGGGATAATCCCTCTCGTGTGTGTTTTGAGTGTGTGCACCATATGCACGCCAAGGCAAATACCGTACCTGGCCAAATCTCCGATACTAGTATCGGCATATCCTTTAGCTTGGGTATTGTCGCAAGTATGACTTCGACTTTCTTTCGTGGAGGGGAGGGGTCCTACTCATAGATTAGCGTGTTCTGCGCATGGTTATCCATATGTCTGCCATATTAGTGGTTATGATAGGCCTTTAGCAAGAGCCTCACGTAGTCTTGGTGTGATCCGCTCGTCACTGGAACCACGAGGATGCGATGTCCGTTTCTCTCCTCATCATTTGGAGTGAATCTGTACAGAGAGGAGGATTCTAAGAAGGATTTCTAGCGTCCATCCGCAACTCATGTCATGCGGGCTGCCCTGACCACTTAGGTGTACTTGTTTTTTAAGTCTGGTCCAGACTATCCTCTGGCTGTCTGTAGTTGATCCTTGTCTTAGGCCTATTGGCGGTGATGGTTTAGACCCTATCACAGTCCTCGTCAGGGGGTAGTGATCATGCAGCACCGTCTTGGGATTACTCGGACAAAGGTTGAGGGGAAGAGGAGATCGAAAAGCTGGCCAATCCAAGTATTAAAATCGCAAAAGCTCATAATGCGGGCTGCCACTATTTTCTGCGTGTGTGGTGCTGGTTTATGACCGTGATTGCATCAGTGAAACGACGTTCTAAATTATTGGCCCGGGTGGCACCACGGTCGTTGGCTTAAGAAGAGGAGATGTCGGTGTAGGACAATAGATACTTCGACGTGTCGTATTCCCGGTATGTCCCGTCGTGGCTCTGCCACAGGTGTCACAATTCAATTTAGAATGAGGGAATGACAATATTGTTCACACCTAAGCGTATAGCAAGGGATTGATTCAATCATCCTTGAAGAGCTAACCCTGGCTTCAAGACTCGTTTCCTACTTCTCCCTTGAGAGGTGCTCAACTCAGGAGCGACAGGTTCAAAAAAAAAATTTGGGGAAAAAAACCCAAGTGGGAGAGAAGGAACAGAGCATGTCCGATCCATCCACGAAAATCGTTTGCGCACGTAAAGATCGGAAGAACCATACATATCCACATATACAAGGCTTGCTCCCCGTCTCTCCCTTTAGCTACATTCCACAACTGCAGTCGCTCACCGTTATATACGTATAGGTTGGTTTCAGTACGAGAGCTTAAGACGAGGGTTGACTCAGAAGATCGGCGGCGATGATCTAGATGCTGTCGTGGCCTCTATTGGGGAGTAGTCTGTCGTACCCTCATCAAACCACACATGTGCAGAGATCTAATGACAACAAGTGTCCTTTCCAAAAGCAGACATCAAAACGAAGAGATAATACAAAGAGAGGGCAATCATCCGGTAGACGGATCGTTCAGGCTAGGTGAAGAGATCTGAAGGAAAGAGAAGGAAAGCTATAAGGAGAGAAATAGCAAGACGATCAATTTATTCGTTCGATTTTTACGATCCAGTCATTGTTATTCCTTAGGCTAACGAGACCGGCGGGTGGGCCGTTTTCAATCATCTCGAGCATGGCCTTGGCTAAGTAGATGGTCGTGATTGGAGCAGTGCTGTGGCGTTCCCATTCTTCGGGAAGCCCTGTGGGTTAAGCAGGGGTGAAGAGGGTATACTCCATAACAGTTATTCTTATCACAGATCTTTGCGGCCTGTGCTCGGAGAGTCATGAGAAAGAATAGGCTTCAATCATGCACGAGAAAATGACTTAAACAAATCGCATACATTCGAGCGTGTCATACACGATTTAATTCACGAGCCTTACTGCCCAGTTTTATCGGTCGAAGGGCGATCAAAAAATTCGGAATTAAATGAAAAGAAAGAACACGCTTTGTAAAAACAAGAAGAACGGAAAGAACAAGCTTTTAGCAAAAAAAGAAATTCCGAACATTGGCTTACAAAATGACACGTCAACCTGCCCTTTTATCGATGAGAAAAGTACCAGGTTCGCTCCTTCTCTCTCTCTCTCAGAGTCTCTCACTCCTTCCCTTTTTCATTCCCACTCACTCATTCTCCCTCCAATCCCATTCCCCCTTTCTTTTTCACCTTCTCTGTCTAACCTATGCACACTTTACTCAATCATATAAACCCATGCAAATACAAGCCAAGTCCAAGGTAGTAGAGTGAAAGGGAGGGCAGGCTAGTTCAGCGAAGAAGACGCGACGGCTAGTGTCATGCTGATGCGAGTAAGAAACTGAACATCATGCGAGCATTATTACAGAAAAAGACAAATAAAAGTTGCTCAACCCAACGCTAGTAAACACTGCTATGGCCTACTAAACCACGACGACGACAAGCCCGTGATGATGAGATGGCAGCACGCTCTCCTCGTGGAGATCGAGCTTCGTAGAACAGCAGCCAGAAAGAAGAACAGGGTACAGGGAGAAGAGGAAGAGGAAGATCCTGCACCATGCCTCCTAGCCCTGATACCGCCCTTAGGCGAGGCGGACTGGCCGACAGATCCATAGGAGGGAGTGGCACATTCCCGGAGGCCTTTCTGCCGCTTGCCACGCGCGGCTTCATCGGAGGGAGTACCTTTTCCTTTGTCGTCGGAAAAGGGCGGGACAATGAGAACGATACAAGACATACCAAGGAAGCATGTAAAGCGAAGGGGAGAAGAAGGGAAGCGTGGCTGCGACGTGCATGAGGGGACTTGAAGAGAGATTGTGTGATGGTAGGCAAGCAGGAGGTTGGAGGAGGGGGGTGGTGGGTGGGAGGGGAATGTGGGCGAGTCGCTGCTCATCTTCGCTATGCTGCGTGCCGCTTCGTTCACGAGCTCCAATACACCGCGATAAGCCCGCTTGCCGACAGTGCCAGCGCTAGGGAGGTGTAACCAATCGT